TATATTACAAAACGAGATAATTCAATTACTATGGTCTAGTACAGTGTGTATCGATGTTAAAGTGCTACCTACAATCACCCTACAATAGAACACCAGGATTAACGTTTCATCAGTAAGTTTTTATGTGTCTTTGTTGTGTACTGATGAGTCTTTTCGAAGTTTATTTAAATATTATCGTAACATGTAACATTTTTTACGTAGGATTATTTATCTTTTTTTTTTTTTATATAGATAGATCCGACAAATGACTCCTCCCCACCTGATGTTAAGTGAAGGTGAAGTCCAGACGCGAAGATAGCTGATACAGCAGTTCTAACTGCCACACCAGCCATCCTCACCCTGCCGGCCTGCAAGTTGCTTCTTCACGCCTCTTTTAAAGGATCCCAGGTTGTAAGAGGGAGGGAACACGTGAGCGGGCAGAGCATTCCATTTACGGATAGTACGACAAAGAAATGAGTCACCAAATTTCTTTGTACGCGTTGGAATTGTAGCCACAGTTCGACGGTGACAACGTAAGCCAGCGCACGTGGTCCTCTGAAGGAAAGGGGAAGGTGGAATAAGAGAGAATAACTCCTCAGAACACTCGCCGTGGTACAGACGATAGAACGCGCTTAGTGACGCCACGTCACGGCGTAATTAAAGAGGCTCGAGGTGTTTAGTCACCTCCTCATCGCCTATGATGCGGATTGCGCGCCGCTGTAACCTATCCAAAGCATCGAGCAAGTACTTAGCGGAGCCATCCCAGAGGTGCGAGCAATATTCCACGCAAGACCGCACCTGCGTCTTATACAACAAGCACAGTTGCTCGGGCGTGAAAAAACGCCGCACCTTGTTCAGGACTCCGAGTTTGCGTGAGGCTGTTTTTATCACACTTTCGATGTAATTCTTTGGATTTAAGTCACAGCGAATCTCCATACCGAGCATGGTGATACTGCTCTCTAGCTCCAGTGTTGTGCCCTGAAGAGAAGGACAAAAGGAATGGCGACGTTTTTGCCGTGAAAGCACAGACCTGGGTTTTCTTAGCATTGAACTTAACCAAGTTCTTGGTACCCCATACAGAAATGTGGTCCAAAGCCTGATTGAGCTCAATGACAAGATTCTCCCGTTTCTCCTTGGTTACCGCCTGCCCAGCCGCTGCTTGTCCGAGATACCACGCATGCACTGTACTATCGTCTACATAGCAATGAATATTCCCAAGAGGAATTAGGTCATTGATATGCAGCAGAAAGAGAGTGGGGGATAGGACGGAGCCCTGGGGAACGCCGGCATTCACTGACATGAACCGTGAACTGCTACCATCCGTAAGGACACGAATTCTACGCTCATGCAGGAAGTCAGCTACCCAAGAACAGAACTGGGCCGGCAGACCGTATGCCGGAAGCTTGGAGAGAAGACTTTTGTGCCAGACCCTGTCGAATGCCTTGGCAATGTCAAGGCTAATAGCCAACGACTCGCCTCGCTTGTCGATAGCCTCAACCCAGATATGAGTAAGTACGCTAGAAGATCACCCGTCGATGGTTTCGGTCTAAAACCATATTGACGATCATTGATCACGGAGTGATCCTCTAGGTAGCGGGTCAGATGATTGTTAAGGACCTTTTCTAGGACTTTACATAATACTGAGGTGACTGCTATTGGCCGGTAGTTAGCCGGGTCTGAGCGATCCCCTTTTTTGGGTACCGGTTGCACATTAGCATCTCTCCAAGTTTCCGGCACACGCCCCAAAGAATACGAGCACTGGTACAAACGTGTGAGCACGGGAGACAACTCCGCTGCACATTTTTTCAGTACTACTGCTGGGATGCCATCGGGTCCAGTAGCTTTCCGGACGTCGAGTGATTGCAATTCAGCACGAACCTCACGCTGCCTGATTTTGATATCCGGCATCGTTGTGCCACAATGAGGTAATGATGGTGGCGGTGCATTGCAATCATCGATTCGGGAGTTAGCCGCAAAGAGTTTTGCCAGTAAATCGGCTTTCTCCATCGCATCTCAGAGGTGGCAGCGAGGGCTGGCAGAAGTTCTTCTGCACGGCCTTGGCCAAACGCCAATAGCTACGGGAGCCCGTAGGATGCGTTATAAGTTCGTAACCAACACGTGCTACGCGCTGGGCATCCGCTCTGATGTAAGCCTTCTTACAGGCCTTGGAAGCAATATTATAGGCTGCTTTTAGTGAATCGACCCCGGGATCCTTAATAGCGCGGCCTCTGATCCAAGCACGATATGCCGCTTGCTTACGCGAAGCAGCTTCAGCACAGTAGTGATTGAACCAGAGGTTACGTGTGCCCTTACTGATGAGATTGGAATGAGGAATATAGTATTCCATACCCATTACAATCTCCTCAGTAATAGCAACGGCGCTGGCCGATAGGTCCTTGTCACTGAAGCAGCGCTGCTTCCAAGGGACGGACGCAAAGTAGTCACGCATACCGTCCCAATCTGCCGACCCATAATGCCAAATCCGGCGTTTTACCACCGTTGGACGTGGAGGCTAGGCCTGTGGCGCTTTGGCAGATATCAGGCAGTGATCTGAAGAGCCCAGGGGGGCTCCTACCACAACCTGATAGCCCTGTGGATGGGTCGTGAGCAGAAGGTCCAGTAATGAAGGCGCTTGACTTGAAATATATGGAATCCTGGTGGGCTGATCGACCAGTTGCTTCAAGTCCTGCATGAGAGCGAACGCATGAGCAGAGATCCCTGCATGGTCAGTTTTCGAGGAACTTAACCACAAATTGTGGTGAGCATTAAAGTCCCCCAAAAACACCAATTCTGCATTGAGAAATTGCTCCTGCGCGTCATCTGCTGCCCGACTAAGATGTTCGAAAAGTCGAGTTGTCTCAACATCGCCAGTGTGGGATCTGTAGAGGCACACGTAGATTCTGGCCTTGGGACCAGAATGGACGTGTACCCCCAACATGGAGAAGGAGGGATCTTTCAAGCAGCGGAGACGGCGACAACAAACATCCGCCCGAACATACAGGCATACACCGGCTTTCGCTTTGAAGGACTCTTCAAGCACGTAGCCGGGATAATTAAGGTAGCCTGTGTCAGCAGGCGGAAGTATTTGTGTCTCCGTCAGGAACAACAATGCTGGCCGTGCTGTCTCAAGATGGTGGTGGACAGCATTGAGGTTAGAGTGGAGTCCGCGTATGTTGCAGAACTCGACCTCAAACAGCGTTGAAGGCGTGGGGGTGTGCACCGCTGTACGTCCAAACTTTGTTTTGAGAGCTGCCATTATGGAAGTGATAAAAAGACGTGAAACGAGTGGACGTTGTCGCGACAAGACCGGGCAAATTAGGGAGGCATGTTTCCCCGAATAATTGCCTGCAGAGGATATACGCCGACCCGCCGGACGGAAGGGCCCCCGCACCCCCCCGGAAGTGGCCGCCGGGACCCCACGCCCCGGTCACCAACCGGCACGACGGTCCACCCCGAGATTATGCGTGACATGATGGGGTAGCCTCGCGAACTGGTTAGGAACGCTCGGGCCCCTGTACTGTGCCACGGGCGGCCAGCGGGACAGCCGTTTCTACGGGTCTCCCTGGCCGGCGGGTCGATGCAGTCCTCCCGGCATCGGTTCGACGGATGCCTCGCCCTGGACCGAATCCGTCGCGACAACCTACACTCGAGCCCTGGTTGTACGCTGGCTGACCCCAAAACGCGCGAGAAGCACTTCACGGGTTTTTCACCATGCGCACGGTGGTAACAAACCAGGCGGGTGTTAGGCACCCTACCACCAGCAGAGCGGATGGAAGCTCCGATATCCCTTAGTCGCCTCTTACGATACCCACGGGAAGAAAAGGGGTGGTGAGTTGTATTCTTTCTCCGTCACCGCACGGATAAAAACTCTAAGATACTTCCGGTGAAAACTAATATCCTAAAAGTAAAGAAATAGTCGTAATCAGGATATATCATGATAGGAAATTCCAATTCTGACAACTGAAGTACTGTTGCCATAACAGAGGACAGACTCGGTATCAAAGACAAAAAGTTTCTCGGCATTAATTTTGTTTGCACTGCATTGTATTTTTAATGCGAATGCAATCAAGAAGATCGTAAATAGATAGGTACCTATTACAGACTAGCTATTCATATTTCTTGGAACATTGGCATTGGTAGGTAAATAACCCAAATAACCACATAAACAATTTTGTTCTAGATTTCCAAAGGATGAAAGTACTCGCAATGCATTGTTAAAATATATGAAACGTCAGGATTGGCAACCAAATACTTATAGTGTTTTAAGTGTTTTTTGTATTAAAATAAACTACAGTAATGATTTTAATAGTTTGATTAAATTCATATGTTATTATGTCGATTATTCAATATTTGACTCGAACAATCCAGATCATGACATAAACAATGTCCACTTGCTTATTAAAGTTATTGTCAAATTTTATTTTGATCTTAGATGTAAACATCAATGTAAAGAAACAAATGTATATCAGAGAAATTTTCTAAAAAAACTTGTATTATTTAGAATAAATAGATAAAAACTATGCCTTAAATTTTTATTTCAATTTTCCTGATTGTACCTATTTCCTTTCCCTGGGTTAATTCTATCTCCGTGCTCAATTTCATCATTATCGGTTCAGCGATTTCGCCTGGCTAAATTCGCCATGAAGATATTAAACAGACAGATTTTTACATTTATAATATTATTAGCATGGACATCACATTAGGACCTATTTATTCGGATAGGTATTTCATGAAACAATAATGAAATCCATTATTCTACTATACTAAATGCGGCCCATGCTTTGGTGAGTTTCAATGTGTGTGTATTTGCCACGTTGTTTAAAACTGAATATTCCGTCTGCTATGCTATAGTATTAAATGTCTGTGTCCACAACTGAAACTCGATGACAGCTGATTAGTATCTCTAACTAGTCTGTGCAGCTGATGTACATAAGTTTGGTGTTGCCAGACACATGAATAATGTTAGTTCCTCAAACATTCATGTCACGACTTTATAGACAAACTGTAATTAGACGAACAACCCTACTGTTGATTGTAGGGCTTTTGGGCCGAAATGGTGAAATTCACGGCCGTAAAATTAAAAAAAGAGTAATGCTTTTGACATTGACAGACAAATTGTTGTCATCAGTTTTGTTGTAGGTTTTAGTAAATGTAGTAGAGTTATTCTAATTTTATTTTGGATGAATTCTTTAAAACTTTAATAAAAACTTAAACTTTAACTTTTTTTTAATTGATCTCAAATAGTTTTTTAATGTTTGGGGTTATGAGGTGCAGACGGATTTCATAATGTTTTTTTATGAACGTTTTTGTGTGTGGATAGGACATTTGAAATTATCTCGTGTTATACTATTGGTTTCTGTTATTTTATTCGTGGTACCACTTTTTACACATTATTACTTATCAAAGGTATTGAAGTACAAATAATTAAAAAATAAACTTGTAAAAATTGAATAAGTTCTATAGGTTCTGAGGTCAGAATTAGAACTGGCCAAATGCTTGATTTGTGATAATACAGTTGATGCACAATGATAAATTTGTACTTTTTCGTTTGAAAGTGTCCCTAGTTTGTTTTTTCCAGTATGAATCGACTTTGGGGAATAACCACATGCGACATACATTGGAAGCATTGGGTGACCTGTCCACTATGAACATAATGGATCTTAAAATAAGAATTGAGGAAATGCTAAGAATTAAGGTACACTAAATGATGTAAAGACATTTTTACTAGATAAAAATCCACTCAGTCATACAGGATATCTTTTCTGATGCCTGGACTGTGTGGAATTAATTGAATCTTTTTAGACTTTATAAATCTTGCAGTAAAATGCTAAAAATTAAAAATACTATGAAGCAATATGGAGTAGATTTAGATGAGTCCCTAATTTTCTGGCAGGGGAGGCATGCCAATCATGGTCTATGTAGCCAAATTAGTAGAACTAGCACTCTGTCATCAATAATTTTGAGGAAAATATATTTTTTGCTTGAAATTAATTCAAAATTCAAAGTCCCTATGAAATTTTGTATGTAGATAAACTTTGTGTTCATTTTGGTTATGATAGGTGTAGGTGATTATTATATGAATTTTGCTTTGCTATCTATATAAAGGGCTAAGGGGAAAAACTTTCCCTGCCTCTTTCGGGTTCCTTAAACTTTCGTTATGTTCATTCGCAGCTTAGCTTAGAGACTTGCTTATATTTGGCATGGATAAATGAGCAAAAGATAATTGTAAAATGGATTAAAAAAATTTTTTCAAGACACCTCCTGCTACTAGTTTTGAGGGATCTTATTACTTTTTCAAAATCTTTGGATAGATGTTAGGAACATATTAGGTATCAAGGAATTCTTAAATAAATTTTTTGATTAAGGAATCCATTTGCTACCAACCTCCATGGCTCTAGTGGTTTGTACACCAGGTTTGAAGGTGTAGCTTTAAAAACAAAATATATATAATAATACTTTTAAATGTATTGTATCAGTTACCCTTCCATAGTATCCCATAACACAAGCCTTGCAGTGCTTACTCTGGGGCGATGCCAATTAGGATGTGTTTAAAGAAAAACATATTATTATTTGGCATATTTTTGATTACAAATGTACCAAATAATAATATGTATATAAATAAATAAATAAATATTTCCAGCACTTGCACCAATTAGCCTAGCCCCAAAGTAAGCACTGTAAGGCTTGTGTTATGGGATGCTAGGGTAATGGATAGAATACATATACATTACATATATAAGTATATTTATATAGAAATACATATTAAACATCCATGACTGGAGTACAAATGCTCGTGTTCATCACACAAACATCTGCCCCCACCGGGATTCGAACCCGGGTCCTCTCGAGTCGGCGACACCATGAAACCCGGCGTACAAACCACTCGGCCACGGAGGTCGTCAATATGTTATATGCAACTGAAAAATAAGTAGGGGATGTCAAGTTAACAGATGGGAAGATGTGCTCAAGCAGACTGTTACATGTTCACTGACAAAGAGATAGATCAGAGTAGAAATTATTAGAAATCCTAGTGCTATTATAAATGTGAAACTTTGTATATATTTTACTCAATCCTGGAAAAGTGTTAGGTTCCTTAGGGATTTTCAAAAATCTAAAGTTAATGGACACAGTTGCTGGCTGCCGCTAGTTATTAATAATAATGGAGGCTTGGGGAGGCTTTGTGTCACTGACACCCTACCTACAGTGCCTTTTATGTATTACTTGTGGTTAAACAATCAGGTATGTAGCTTCATTGAAGCCTATTTTAGTTTTTTTTAATAGTAATGTTCAATAGGTATGACTTATGTAGCACCCAAATGTGTATCAAGCTCATATCTTCAGCAAGTATGTTACCTACACATGGTCTCAAAAAATATATATTTAGATAAAACTGATTGATTCTTCTTGTTTTAATTAACATATTACCTTTTCGTAGGCCTCAGTATCTACTGAGTTACGGGAATTGGAGGCAAGACGCGCGCGCCTACAGAGGGAGGCGGTGGCAGCCAGTGCTAAAGCAGATAGCGCCAAAGCGGAGCATGCCCGTGCGGCTGCAGAGTTGCAACGTCTTCGAGTCTCTGCCGATCAGGCGCGTCTTGCGCAGCTTGAAGCTATACGCAGGGACTCACCAGAACTAGCACCCCCTCAGCAAATACTCTCCGCCAGACCGCCGCCCATTTTACCACCTATCGAACACTCCTCTGAACCATACTGTCGCATGTTTTCATGCTTCGACCACTCCCGCTGCTCTTTAACTTCGGGCTTCCCAGTCTATTTATACGATCCAGATATCTACGCTCCGTTCGCCAGTTCTGAAGTGGATGGTTTTTTGAAAACTACATTGCGCCAAACATTAGGATATAACACCCACCTGACAAAAGATCCTAATAAAGCCTGTGTCTATCTAGTTCTCGTTGGTGAAGCTTTTCCATATGAAAAAGCCTCGTAAGATATTTTTGTATTGTTTTTCTAATTTAAAACTGTTTGTTTGATGTGGAAGTAAGAATACGTTAATATTTCTTTCAGGTCAACAACAGAGTCATATAAATTGTTATTGAATGAGACTGCTCTAAAAGGTTTGCCTTTTTGGGGAGGTGATGGAAGAAATCATGTTTTAATGAACTTAGCTCGGCGTGAGCTTTCGGTTGGGTCAGGCGATGCGTTTCGAGGCTTGTCCACAGGAAGAGCTATTATCGCTCAGTCTACTTTTACACATAATCAATTCAGGCCAGGTTTCGATATAATAACGCCTCCAGCATTAGGTCCACCGGGAGGTGATGTATGGGTTGATTGTGCACCTATAGCACCAGCAAGAAGAAAATATTTAATAAGGTATGTTTATTTATTATGAAAATCTATTTAAACTAATTGAGATAATAAATTTTCGATTGTTCAGTAAGGTTATATGAAATTACATCAAAGTCATATATTCAATGACTTTGATGTGATTTCATTAGCTAATATTAGCTTTCAGGGATCGCAACCGCCAGCAAAAGGGCCTGACAAGGATCATGACCAAAAGCTTATAGAATCTTTGCAGAATACAAGTTCGTCGCCGGATACGTTCTTTCTGCAATTCGAATGTGACCCACCCGTAGAGAAGAAATCTTTACTGCCTATAGGGGATTGGGCATTATGTGGGACCGATCGTTCGCGACGTGCGGTGCTAAGGGACTCCACATTCGTACTGATTCTTGCACCAGCTGATCGTAGTTACACCACCACAGCACTGTTGCAAGCACGTCTATATGAAGCATTGCGATCTGGTGCTATTCCAGTGATTCTCGGCGGTGACAGAATACGTTTACCGTATGACGAAGTTTTAGATTGGAAACGAGCAGTGATAGCGTTACCGAAAGCACGCGTCACCGAGCTGCATTTCTTGCTTCGAGCTATTGCGGATGCTGATTTATTAATGTTCAGAAGACAAGGCCGAGTTCTTTGGGAGCGCTACCTCAGTTCTGTTCAAACCAGTGTAGATTCCTTGCTGGCCACTATTAGGACTCGCTTGAATATTCCGGCACCGCCAGCGACGCCAACAATAGCAGCGCCGGGCTTCAATGAATCATACTATCCACTAAAATTGGATCCTCCCGCTGTGGATACGGAACCCGAAGAAACTCTCGGACCCCTAGAAGCTCCATACGCGAGTCCGTCGTATCGTCGGAATTACTCCATGAGCTTGTTACACGGGTAAGTATGTAGTAGTATGTAGTGCAGAGGCATTTCCTGTATTAACTGTGTTGACCTCCTGCGCTGATAGTACGTTACGTTGGCGACGAACAGAGATGCGTGTGCATTTCCTTATGTATAAACACATACACGCGGGAGTAGGGTCGTTCTGTCAGCGAAAAACCAAACGCATACATGCATTCTAATAGACCCGACAGATTATTTCTGTCAGCGCGACGTAGCTCTTCGAGTGTTGCAAATCATCAGCGCAGCAGTGTACCCGTTCATATATTTTCATAGATATAGCTACTATTACGTCCGATCGACGTGAGCGCCGACCGTCGGTCGAGCACTGATTTCAGATTCAAATCTATCGGTTGACAAATGGAACAGACTAAAGAATCCCATCTATAGCTTGATTTGTCTGATTTACTTTGTTTGTATTCAGTAATTGTAAGGTGTTAGATAGTTTCTTGAAAAAAAAACTGCTTAATATTTTTATAGCACAGTGTGACCTAAACCCGCACTTTACGCACGCTTTTCCGTGACCTAAGTTGCCTATTTCTGCACGGTGTGTAAATGAATTGACCAACTTCACTCATGTAGCATTAGTACATTACGATACGCGTAACTTAACTTTACTATGCTAATCAAGGAATAAACGTTCATGGATATATTGAAATTCTATTTTGTTGTAATGATATTTGATTTTTTCCTTTTGAAATATACTTTCAAAATGGTAATCTGAACCGGAATTCTTTCTTTTCAGAGTTTGACTTGCAGTCTGTATTGCAATTCTTTGTGATTGCAATACATGAATTTTACTTTCAAAACACTAACCCCCCCTCCCTCTTCCGGGGCGGGTTTATGTCACACTTGCTATAAAATAGTATACGATACGTGTGGCCTAAGTTGTCTATTACTGCATGGCGTTTAGCACCCTAGTAATAGGCAACTTAGGTCACGCGTATCGTAATGTACTATTGCTGAGGCAGCTATCAAATTAAAAAGAAATGCAATAAGTCACGGGTTGCCTCATTCTATTGTTATCGCAAAGATAGAGACAGTATCAATCAAAGTTTAAAGTTAATTGACATCTTTGAAAACAGCTCTATATGAACAAAATTTTACAGCCTCTAAAGTGCGTGTTATGTTCGTTTGTATTGGTAGATACGAACTATGGAATGAGTGGGGCGAGCCATTCGCGCTGTACCCACAGCTGCCTTGGGATCCCTCGGTGACGTCGGAAGCCCGCTTCGTCGGCTCCGCGGCAGGGTTCCGGCCCATAGGCGCAGGTGCCGGTGGCTCCGGGCGCGAATTCAGCGAGGCGCTGGGCGGCGACCGGCCTCGAGAGCAATTCACCATCGTCATACTGACGTATGAACGCGAGGCGGTGTTAGCGGCCGCTCTAACAAGACTCAGGGGCTTGCCTTATTTAAACAAGGTTAGTTTCTCCAGCCAATAGGCGCTGACGCTAGTTCAGCGAGGCGCTGGGTAGCAACCGGCCTCGGGAGCAATTGACCATTGTCATACTGACGTATGAATGCGAGGCGGTGTTGGCGGCCACACTCACCAGACTGAGGGGTTTGCCTTATTTAAACAAGATAAGGTTTATATTTCTTTTTGAGCATTTAACTGCTTGATGTTTATATCTAAAGTAATCATAATTGGTCAGTGCATTCGCCCGGATAGCAAAGGGTGCTGGTTCGAGTCCCGTCTGCTGCCTGGTCCGCGTGGATTTTTTTCAAGATTAAGTTTTTCCAGCCAATAGGCGCTGATGCGAGTTCAGTAAGGCGCTAGGCGGCGACCGACCTCGGAAACAATTCACCATTGTCATACTGAGGTATGAACGCCAGACAGTGTTGGCGGCCGCTCTCACAAGACTTAGGGGTTTGCCCTTATTTAACAAGGTTAGTTTTTTTAGCCAATAGGAGCTAAAAGCTATTCTTATCGTCATTATCGTCGTCGTTAAAGTTTCTATCGAAACTAGGCAGCGCCCCTTGTAACCTTGAAAATCAGGGGTTAAAGAAAACCACTTTTCAGATTGTGTTTTTACGTTTTTAATCGATCAACTTTAGTTAAAATAAAAACATAACTTTAGTTAACTTAAATCCAAATATTTTAATATCAAAATTTTAAAACATAATATAACAACTTAAACCAAAATGTATTTTTCAAAACGAATTAGGTTACTAAATTTATTCTCCCCTTACAGGTACAAATAAAAGAAGAGAGGGTTCGTGACGATTTCTGGTCTGGGTTTGAGTGATGTGTGTATAAACTTAAGTAGTCCAATCATGAGTAAATGTTAACAAGGCTGACTTAAATTTATTTATACATAAGTTAAGTTAGCTACGTTGGAATCCATATATAGTTCACAATTTCGGCGGTCTCCAGAGATTCACAATGAAATAATAGGTAATTAACGTCCTGAGGGAACACTCGCTACTGAATTTGTCCGGGACACGATTCTCGCTCGAAAAGGTTATTTGTCATCCAAAATATAAATAAGTTTCGGTGACTCAAAAAAAATAAACAAATAAATAATGGGAAGGTACGATCCTGAGAGAGCACTTGCCACTAGATCCGTCCGGGACTCGATGCTCGCTCGAAAAAGTTGATTCTCACCCAAAATAAAAAACTCCGTTTTAGGAGTTAAAAGATAAACTGGAGGCGTGCAGGGAACTCGGGAAACAATTCACACGGGCCCGTATTATATCTAAATATCAGGATAAATCACTTATTTAAATATGAAAGTAATATCGTCCGTTCGCCAAAAAGGTACGAGTAAGTGGGTAGTTACATCGACAAATTTGATGAGAACTAAGAAAGGTTCTATCTTTAAATAGGAAATTTACAAAGTAAGAGAATTTCGTTGATCTCGCGTTGATCGATTAAAAACGTAAAATGTTATTAGTAAAAATTAATGCCAACTCGCGGTTCGCCGCTCGTCCGCCGCTCCTCCGTCCGTCAAATATTGTTTTTATATTTTCCCCTTTTGGGTAGGCAAAGGCAACAAAGACCATACGGCCTTGTTGATAATATTTTTTGTTTGGTCTTTTGGTCATAATTTAACTTTATAGTAAAGGTAAAATTTTAAGGGTTACACCCTACTGGACAAGAGAAAAAACTAGTCTAGCGGCTGCCCACTACTTCGTCCTCGTTAGTTTTAGTTTGTTGCGTAATCCACAAGAACCTAATATTTTATGGGATATAAATTATCATATGTCTCAATCCAGGTCATAAACTATATGTATACCAAATTTCATCCAAATCCGTCCGTGTAGTTCCTACACTCCTTAGAAAATGATGATGGCGATACGAATACGTTCTCGCTAGTTGCTCGTGTTTAGGTTACCGTTCGCCATCATCATGCTCATGTACGAGCAAGAGGCGGTGCTGGCAGCACCAGCTGTCATCGTGTCTGAAGTCCACCACCATTCAACTTCGGGTAAGGTAGAGTGAAGTGAGATTTTGTGTTAAAAAAAAATGCCAAATAGCCCAAATAGGCTTTGCACGGGTGACCTTTAAATTTAAAGCGATAAAACATAGCCTATTAGTTATTTAGGGATAATGCAGCATTGTAATGGTGAAAGAATATTCGAAATTAGTCCTGTAGTTGAGTTTATTCGTTAGACAGCTACCAAAATACAAATCCATACTCGCCTTGCAAGCGACCATCTAAGGGCTTGCGCTGCGATAAGCGGGAGCACGGAGCGGACTTCCGCTGCGCATGTTATTTCATTGAGCAGCGCTGCGTGAGGCGTGTCACCCATCGTAGCGCCTCTAATGGTTCCAAAAAAATATTTATTTAGATTATGTATTTGTCGTAAGGTGATAGTGGTATGGAACGGGCCTTCGCCCCCCGCGTCGATGTCTTCGTGGCCAGAAAGCGGCGCTCCTGTGGCGGTAGTGAAGGCAGCTAGGAATTCTCTCAACAATCGGTTTCTGCCCTTCCACCTCATAGACACGGAGGCCGTGCTGTGTGTCGACGACGATGCGCATTTACGACACGACGAGATCGTCTTTGCATTCAGGTAAATCATATATCAGATCAACAACATGTTTTGAGACCGTTTTAAATAATCATCAAAACATTGAAATAATATCTTAATAAAGAATAAATACGCATATTTATTAAATCAAAAGGGCTAAATAACGAATATTTAAGATATGTACTGAATTACTCAACCGTTACCCAGTTCAAACATCAGCTGACCAGTGAGTACCTAGAACAGCTGTTCTATTATTATTATTATTTGTGTATTTTTAATACTTAAATAAAAACAGTTACTGTTGCATTTATTGGGCTTATAGTTAAAAAGATAAAATATGGAAAATATCACAATACGCCATAAACTGCCCAGAGCAAAATCAGACTTAGATTTGTCTATACTCACACAAGATGCATTAAATTCATCTACTATGCTAAGCATATACAGTGAAATACAACAGAACACAAGTTATAATAGCCAGGAATATTTACAGGAAATCGATAACCTCATAATTAAACTCGAACAGTCAGAACAAGAAATAGAAAACTTGAATGCAGAAAATACTTGTCTAAAAAATACTAACGAAAGACAAAAAAAGCAAATTGACACATTGAAAAGGCTTACCTGTGATATAGGCAAAAAAATAAACACCATGACGCCACTTAGACATAAAATAACTAACATAAATACACAATTAACAACCAGAGTATCTCCTCTGAATATGTATAAATCAGTGTTGTTTAATACGCCGCAGAGATATCACAATAAACACAGTAATTTGGAAAATTCACACGATTTGTTACAAAGAAAAAATAAGAATTACACATCTTCACAGTGCATAGATACTTTACCGCCATCGAAAAATATTTTTACCACTTTGTTAGACCACAACAAAAACACACGATGCACGGTGTTGTTAAATTCTCGAGAACATTCTCTATGGTGAAACTTTGCGGTTAAGTTCTCGGGAACATTCTTCTGACCGAGAATTTATGAGAACTTTAAAAGTGAAGTCACTTTTCGGTAGGATTTACAATGTGACTAATAGATGTTTATATGTATGTACGTAATATGCAGACTGGATTAATAAAAACCCAGTTATTTATATAAATTCCCGGTAAATTCCCGACTACGAGAATGTTCTCGGAAATATTTCAAGACTAATGTGATTTAATTATGATGATTTTTTTACTTTTGCATTTTTCAATGTTATTTTTATACTTATGATAAACATATATATATTGGAAAAATCAACTCCGCCCCCGGATTGATATTTCCAATATTTGTCTATTTAAAATTTATCATAAGTGATTTAAGTTATTATTTATTAGTAGAGAATAATAACAATTGTTATGTTAAATAGTAATAAAATACCAAATATCTAATCAACATTTATTAAATATATATTTAAAAACATAACTGTATGATACGAAAAGTACGAAACAAACAGAACTTAAAGGTAAATAGGTAATAAAATTAAAATTAATCTTCTAGAATTCGTCTGATTGGTCTGATTAGTATCTATATTTTCAAATTCCAGCTAATGGATCGTCATCCTCATGATCACTCATCTCCATGACGACTTCTGGTTCCTCCTCGACCACAGATATTTCTGAATCAGAGTCTAAATTAAAAGATTCTATCTCAGAATCACTTGCACGATCCCCTTCATAAGATGTACTCGGTATTTCTTGATCAAATGTTTTATTTGTTCTTGAATCGTCTCTATTTAATCTTTTCAATAGTTTCCAATTATGAGATATCAGACTGATTTTGCCCGCCCGCTCCGTAAGAAATTTATTCCTTTTTTTCGTGTGTATATTTGAAAAGGTTGAAGACGAACGTTCTACTGCAGCAAAAGTTGCCGGAGCGGTCAATATTTTAATAGCAATTGTCCCTAGATAGGTTTTTTAGTAAAGTAATTTCCACCATGCCAATGGACTCATTTTATTGGCTGTTTGCCATACAAATTCTTTGCTCCAAAGTCCAGCTCCACACTTGTAGTCTGATACCTCTTGCATCAACTGTTCTATGGGTTGCTGCTGTTCTTCCGCGACTGCTATCACAAACTGCCATCCGTCAATATTCTCATTAGGTTTAAGCATGGCCCCACGATTCCGAGGATCTAACAACGTCGCAGCGTAATGTATTGGCATTAATGATATCTTTTTTCTTTGTTCATATTTTAGTTTTAACGTAGAGTGAAAATTAGTCCCTAGAATTTCTGCCCCTGTTGGATTTTGTATCAACACATCTAATTCTGAGAATGCTTTATAAACTAAATGTCGATTTTATAACGTCGGGGCATTTGTTACAATTATTCGTTAAATGATTAGTCATTCTTGTTCCATTTCGATTTTTGTAACTTTGATTACAAAATTCGCATATAAACAACACTTTTCCATTTCCATCTATTTATTTATAAAATTATAAATCTTTCCCTTCGGTTTCATTTTCAATATATATTTTTTTATTCTGTTTCGTACAAGGCACTTTTGTTGATCACGTCCGAATACTTTACGGTGCGAGTCTGTACTAGCATGTGCGTTAACCGAGCGTCGCGTGCAGCAAGACGGGGAGGGGAGGTGCGGGAGCAGAAATCACAAAGAGCCGCGCGGCGCGTGTCGTTTGTCGGAATTCAAAGGTTCAACTTCAATAAAGCCGATCGCCGAGGCACCCTTTGGTGTTGTTGTAAATTGAATAAGTTGTTATGGTACAAAACGAACTAATTTCATTACAAAACTTGAAACTATATCGTTCTTATTCTACATAAATTAACATCATTTTAAGTTCTCATAAATTTCCAGTGTACCGAGAACATTCTCGGTTGAACGGAAACATTTCAGAATATTCTCGATAAGAGAAAGTTCTCGATTGGAGAACATTCTCTGGTCACATCACACGACTGAATCAAAAAGATCGCAAGATGTTCTCCCTGATAACTCAAAAGATGGAGCCACTGGTCTTCAATGTAACGCTTTAAAATCTAAAGTAGTAATATTGGGAGATGAACAAATACAAAATTTATCAGAAAAAAATCATGTTAATAGGAAACATTTAATAAGCGACTCATATTGCTTTACGACCATTGTGAAAACGGGAGCTTCATGTTCTCAAGTTTTGACTAGTTGTAATGATTTAGAAAATAAGTTGAATAAAGATGACATAGTTATTTTAGCATTAGGTATGAATGACAAAAACCCCTACTTATTGTTTTCAGAGTTAGGGACTGCACTGTACAAATTAAGACATTTTAAGGTTTTCATAATGAATGTGCAATACAATTATTACTTGAATTTAGATTTATTAAATTATAATATAAAGTTGTTGACTAAAACCTACCCTAATTGTAATTCCATAGAATTCCATTCTCAATACTTTTTGACAAACAAAGACCAATATTTAAATGAATTATGTTTAAAGATTAGCTTAGAAATGGACTTTATTAATTACTTTAAAAAATACCTTGCACCAAAACAAATCAAACATATTTTGCTAAATAGTAAACAACCGAATTATGTAAAAAAATACAGCTCTAAACAAACTTTAACCCAAAAAACCATCCCATTTTATTTTAAACGTTGTGATCCTAATTTAGTTCTTGATAAATCAAATGTGATGAATACAGAAAGTAGGTTTTTTCGGATTAAGAAAATGATTAACCCTGGTTCATCAAAACATAGCGAGTATTCTCAGTAAATGTGATCTATTTCAACAAGCACTGAATGAACTAGGAAATATTGATATAATATGTTTAACTGAAACATTTATAAAAAAAGGCTCTCAAAGTAATTTACATCTAAATGGTTATAATGTTGCCTCAACGTTTTGTAGGACAGAGCGAAGAGACCTGCATATTGTTGAGAAATACGTTGGACTTCATGACTTATGATATAAAAGAATCTATACCATTTGCATTTGAATGCTGTGCTGTAGAAATACTGCAATTCAACTTAATCATAGTTTGTATATATAGAACACCATCATCTAAAATTGACATAATTTTACAAAATTTAGATTCTTTGTTAAGTAGACTTTCACGAAAACGCAATAAAAATATAGTATTATGTGGTGATTGGAACATCGATATGATTCAGTCAAACAAAAATTCTCAGGAACTGACAAGTATCTTAAGCAACCACAATATGGTTAACCATATCACGCAACCTACTCGTAAAAAAGCTTGTTTAGATATCATAGTTAGCAATATAAAAACTGAGGTTGATCCAAAAGTACATTATGTATTTATCGGATCACGAGACATGCCAGACTATTACGTTTGAACTCCAGACTGCTTCAAAATACAAAATAAAACCGAAGGTATGGTTTGAAAAGAGGCGGGATATGAACCCAAATAATATAAAAAAAATTATGGATTGCGTTTCAGCATTGTCCTTCAATGAAGTCTTACAAGAGGACGACAGTGAAAGAGCATTTTGTAAGTTTTATGAGTTGTTCAAATTATTTTATTACCTATGTTTTCCATTAATTAGGATAAAAAAAGTTAACAAACCTATTAAAAACACTTGGTTGACTAAAGGCATAAAGAAATGCTGTGTTAACAAGAGACGTCTTTACCTTCAATACAGACTTAACTCATCAAATAAAAAAAGAAATAAAAGTGATTATATAAACTATACAAAAATACTGAATAAGTGTACATATCAAGCACAACGAAATACTAATACTAAATACATTTCTCAAGCAAAAAATACTTGTAAATCAGCTTGGGAGGTAATAAAATATAATATAAATAGGAAGGACATTATGAATAATATTGATGAAATTAAATTAAGTGACAATTTATATATTAATGATCCAATAAAAATAAGTGAAAATTTTAATGAATATTTCGCTGTTCGTGATATACCTTATCACCCGAATAGTTAATATTTGACACCCATTATTGAAAACGATATTTATAAGATAATTATGAATCTAAATAATACCTATTCTACTGGTTACGATGAAATAAATACGAATATAATAAAAAAAAGTGCAAAAATTATTGTTAAACAACTTGCTCATATAATTAATGCGTCCTTTGTTCAGGGTCATTTTCCTAAATGTCTGAAACGATCGTTAATTAAACCACTATATAAAAAAGGTTCTGTCAATGAAATGTGTAACTATAGACCTATAACCCTAATTCCAGTACTATCAAAAATTTTTGAAAAGGTCATGTATGATAAAATCTACACATTTATTACATTTAATAAGATTCTTAAGGATGAACAATATTGATTTCGAAAAAACAGTAGTACAACTCTTGCATGCTTCAACCTTGTTAAAGGTATTACACAGAGCCTTGAATCGAGAATGAATACTCTTGCAATATATCTTGACATGAGCAAAGCATTCGATTTCGTATCGCATAGACTCCTCTTAAATAAATTATAAAGATATGGTATAAGAGGTAATGCTTTGGTCTGGTTGGAAAGCTACCTTGAAAGTCGTTTACAATGTGTAGAAATATCTAACATAAAAGGTAAAGATAGGAAATCTGTTACATCAAAATATAGACAAAATCTATGCGGTGTGCCACAAGGGAGCGTTCTGGGACCTCTACTTTTCCTGCTTTATATTAACGACTTGCCAAATGTTACCGACCAAAAATGTATTTTATTCGCCGATGATATTACCCTAATTATAAGTGATAAAGACGGAAAAATAGAATATAAAGCAAATACAGAATTACAGAAAATAGCACAGTGGTTAAAAAATAATAACCTTATTATAAATGTAAATAAAACAAAATTTATTCATTTTAAAACAATAAATAGCAAAAATGATAAAATTAATATAAGTGTGAATAACCAACCTATAGAAGAAGTAAATGACACAAAATTTTTAGGAATAACCTTAGACAAATTCTGTAACTGGAAAGCTCATATTGACACTGTAACAAATAAGCTTGATAGATTTATATATGCTCTGAATAGGATAAGAGAGATAGCATCGCAACAATCGGCACTAATAGCTTACCATGGTTATGTTTCATCTGTGTTGCGTTATGGTATAATACTGTGGGGAAATTCAGTAGATGCAATTAAAGCCTTTAAAATTCAAAAAAAAATGTATACGGTCACTTTGTGGTGCAGGTTATTTGTACTCATGTAAGCCCTTATTCAAATTGCTTGGAATACTGCCAGTTCCATGTTTATATATTCTTGAAATGGCAGTGTTTGTTAAAAAGTATTTTCACTTATATAACCAAAAAAAAGATGTTGAATATAGAGGTAGGAAAGGGAACGACTTATGTGTTCCAATCCAAAGACTAATGATATTTTCCAAAAATTCATATTGTATGTCCATTCGTATATTTAATAAGTTACCCTCAAATATAAAAAAACTAAATGTAACCAAATTTAGGACTGAATTATTTACATTTTTAATCAACAAAATGTACTTTACAATTAATGATTTTTTAAATGATAAAATACCCTAATATATATTTGGTTGACATTCGTGTGTATTTAATTTAATAGTATAAATTATGTAAATGATAAATATATGTAATTTTCTGACATTTTAATTCAATATCGATGCAATTTTTCCTGCCTTTTTTAATTATGAATAGATTATAAGCACTTTTTTTTGTGGCATTGCGTATATCTATTATCTTTAAATTAATTTTATTTATTTTGACGTCAGTGAACCTCATTAATTTAATTGTCTTTTATATTATGTAATATTTGCACGTTGACATTCAACAAAATATGCTGGAAACTAAAGAGCTAACAACTATTGCCATATTTTGGCAAATAAATGATTATTATTATTATTATTATTAGCGATCGTGGAAGTAGAACCCCATTCGTGATGGCCGGGCATCGAATATTTATAATCTCACAGTCTTCCGCTAGCTACTAAGAACTTATTCAAAAACTGGTTCCTACCCCTCCACCTAATTGACATGGAATGAAAGAGAGTTGAGCCAGTAAGGATATATTATGGCCTGCTTGGTAGCTTCGTCTTTTCAGCAATAGGCTATTTGACAGTATGAAAAATAAATTACCAATTGTTGGCATCTGTATTCAATATTTATATTACCAGCGATTTTATTATTGTGAGAGACAAATAATTAATATTTTTTCTAAAAAATCATTAAATAGAAATGATTTTTTTCTTCAATGGTTACGTGACCGCAAACACTTGGCATTAGCGAAGACTAATATGACATCATACGCTATAAACTTCCGGTCAAAGTGGCACTACATTGTATTGGGGGCTTTGTGGGACGTTTTGATGATGGCCGTGTGACGTCACATACCAGTGAGACGCCATAATGTTCAGAGAAATGTTTTGATTTAGTTTGTTTTTACTGAAATACACAACAGAATGATGAATGTCCACTATAGACTCCATAAACGTTACTTACTTAACGTGATATTGTTTTCGAAACTTTGTCAAATACCCCATTTACTTTTACAGTTGGACAGTAAACTCACCGTATACATTGGTATACATTTATGCATAAGCCTATAAATAAGCTCTCTATTTGTCCAAATAATATATTATATAGTTTAGTTTTTTGTTCTTTAACGCAGGGTGTGGCGTGAGCACAGAGACCGTATCGTGGGATTTCCCGGCCGCTATCACGCGTGGGATCTCAATTTCAACAATGGCTTTCTTTACAACTCCAACTATAGGTGAGTTATCAATATTAGAAACATATTAAACTGAGCCTGTTACGTTAACATAAAACGGTGATATGAAAATGCTATGATAAAAATATTACATTTGACATTGTGGGTTACCTATAATGCGAAGAGATGGCGCTGCTAAATTCGACATGGCCATTAAAGTCACGATAGTACAATTGGTTAGTGCGCCCACCCGGATAGCGGGATAGCGGAAGATGCAGGTTCGAATCCTGTCTGAAGCCTGGACCGCGTGGTTTTTTTTTACTTAATTATTTATTTAATTGCACATGTACAATATAGAATCTTAAAACAATTAATTTAGCATGGTACATGACCCTGCCAAGGTGTTGCAAGTATAATAACTATATCTAGTCAGCTATTAAACAGTTTCAACAATCTAGTTAGTGACCTTCCCGTGCCGGTTTCACTTAGGGCCCATCCATAAATTACGTCACACATTAAGGTGGAGGGAGGGGTTCGCCGAAGTGTGACATCGTGTGACAAGGGGGTGGAAGGGGTCCTAAATTTCGTGACGTCTCATTTCAAAATCTATTATAATCTAAGTGTAGAAACACGAACTTTAAACTATTACTTTACGAAAACACTAGCTGACCCAGCGAACTTCGTACCGCCCTAAAAAAATAGGGGTTTTCCAGCGGACAAAATTGTGAATCTAAACCATTCTCAGATCCCCTTGAACAAATTATTTCATCAAAATCGGTCCAGTCGTTTAAGAGAAGTTCAGTGACATACACACTCACAGAAGAATTATATATATAAAGATTAACAACTCAAACGGGAACAAAGTGGCTGATATACCAGTTATAAATAATTGAAAGGAGTGGGTTCAATGTCCATGAAATTATTGAAGATTATTAAGTTTGTATCTTTAATTTAAATATAATGCTTCTAATATTTTATGTTTTGTTAATTGTTTGATTTGATGTTAATATTATTAAAAAAACCAGTGTGCTTATGACCACACAACTGAAGTGAAACTTTTTTAGCTCCATCTATATATATATATACATATTTCATTTACTTGCTATATATATATATATTCGACAAAAATTCGTGTGACTTAGTTATGGATGACCCCTTATCATTCATAAATTCATTTTCCGAATAGTATGCTTTCGTGATAAGATGTTGTTTGAGTTTCATTTTAAGTGTATTTATGTTGCTGTCTCTTTTGGTTTCTATCGGAATTTTAGTATATATCTGAATTGAAAGGTATAGAGGATTTCTTCAAACATTTCTAGTTTTAGCACTGTTAATACTAAATTAAATTTCTATCGTGAACTTTTATTCGATATAAAATATGTTGGTTGTTTTGTTTTCTGTTATCTTTAATGAAATGCGGTTTACCACTTACTTGCTGCCTGATATTTACGATAATATGGAGACACTTTTTTGAAGGATAAACAGGTTCGCATCCTTACTAAGCTCCCATAATATTATTTCATAGCTCAACTACTCGGTATGTATATGCGTAGTACGCAGACAAGGCACATTTTGCATTCTAATTGGCCTCTAAGAACGCTAATTTTAAAATAATTAAAATCTTTAGATGCTATGATAAGTGCACCTTATGTGGTGTGTTTTACTCTGAGTAGTTTTTCCGAAATACCAAAAATTAATTGGCAAAACATATTCAATTTGTCTGTATAATACGATATCAGACAAGTGTTGTCTAGGTAGGTATTACAATATTAGCCCTCATTCTATTTAATATCGAACTTGTCCTCGTTTCTTGGGTTTAGTTGCGAGCTAAGTATGGTGTTAACTGGGGCGGCTTTCGTTCACCGCTACTATTTATGGGCGTACTGGCGCACTCTACCGGCCGCTGTACGAGACCATGTGGACGAATACATGAACTGCGAGGACATTGCCATGAACTTTCTCGTGGCTCACATTACTAGGAAGCCGCCTGTCAAGGTAACTCACTAACAATCACAAGTGATGTTCCCTGGTCGATCTACCATCTCTGTACAAGGCCATACGCAATAGTACAAGAAATGCGAGGACATCACCTTGAATTTCCTCGTGGCTCACATTACTACGAAGCCGCCTGTCAAGGTAACTTCCTAAAAATCACACGTGTTGCACCCTGGTCGATCTACCACCCCTGTACAAGGCTATAAGCAATAGTACATAATCTGCGAGGACATCGCCATGAAGTTCCTCGTGGCTCAAATTACTAGGAAGCCAGCGGTCAAGGTAAGTGACCAACAAACACAAGTGTTGCACCCTGGCCGATCTACCACCTCTGTACAAGGCCATAAACAATAGTACAGGAACTGCGGGGACATCACCATGAAGTTCCTCGTAGCTCAAATTACTAGGAAGCCGACGGTCAAGGTAACTGACTAACAATCACAAGTGATGCACCCTGGCAGGACTACCACTGCTGTACTGCCACGTGGAGGAGTATACACCCCGGCAAATTTCTTGAGCAACGACCAAAGACAAGGAAGCCTGCGCAGTAGCAATTTTACACACAGAAACGTCTATTGTGCAAGTTTATTTGTCTGTGGTTTTGCTCAAGAAGTTTGCCGTTACCATTATATGAACTGCGAAGACATCACCAGGAAGGCAACTCACCGCTTGAATCACAAGTTTGTGTGGCAGGATTTTTTTTATTTTTTTGAAAATGCATGAGATATCCCCCGCCCATCAAGAGAAACGCGACAAGACTCCCTGTCCGCTCAAACATACAGACTTCACCGGCAACCCGATCGACACTTACTTTGAGGTCCCCAGAGTCTTTTTAAGACTAGCCACGCATCTACCGTTGATTGTCTGTGAAGGGATCCACCCATCGATTTGCGTTTCACGGACTAAGTCTACCAAGCACAGGCAGACCCTTTATTTCTTTTGTAACGTAGGCACTGTTTACAGACAACGACGCCTTTAAGAGGCACACCGCCGAACGGACCTCACACCCTGCACCCGCAAACGTCACGGGCACGATGGGGCTAACCCCCAAAGTAACCCGCGCCATTTACGAGCACGCTTAACGGCGTTCCATCCGCTAAAAAACCGTGCGAATACCCTCTAAGCTGCTTATTGCGAAGCCGCGGGATCCCCGTTTAGGGATTCTTCCGCGTTAGGCACAGGCAGGCATTGCACCGGTTCCTGTCTCCACACCTTGTGCGCTGGTCCCAGGAAGAGCGGAAAAGTGACCGTAGTTTACCCGTCTCACTCCCCTTTCTATAATCTGCCACACCTGTCTAGGTGTGCCACTAAAGACCCTGGGCGAAACTTGGTAAGACCTCGGTGCCGGAGTTGGCGATCGACATCAGTCGTTTGAACATATTCATGATCACGGCCCGCACCTGCCGCTCACCACCTCTCTCTTCGGATAGAGAAACATAAGTCGCAATTGTCTACTTGCGTGACCTCAGTCGTTAGATCATATTCATGGTCACAGCCCTAATACGTTCAAACGATTGAGGTCGACCGTCAGCTCCGGCATTGAGGTCTAAGCAACTTTCCCCCAGGGGGTTTAGTGGCACATCAAGACAGGTGTGGCAGATTGTGGAAAGGGGAGAGGGACGGGGTAAAAAACGCTCACCTTTCCGCTCTTCGGGGAACCAGCGTGGAGACAGGAACCGATGTAATGCATGTCTCAAGTGGCAGGCGGATTGCACCTCTTGCTCCCCATGACGTAGCTTGATGGTCGACAAAATCCCCATTTCCGTTTTTATTGGACAAGCAATGGATCTTCTATGGCCGGTCTACCACAGCTAGTATTAGTCAACCTGAAAAAGTACATGAACTGCCAGGACATCGTCAAAAACTTCTTTGTGGCCAGTTTCCATTCCTACACACACATTGCAACTGAGCACAGAGCGGTGCAATTCGCCGCCATATGCCTCGCCACGCCGCATCGGAAGCACAAACTGCTTCCCAGAGAGGCATCGCTAAAAGGCGTGCCTCCTACCCATGCACCTGAAGCAGAGCATTGGCAGAGTTTTCCGTTCCGGCTTAGCAATTGTGTCTCCGAGTTTTCCGTTCTGGGCTACCTTCTTAGTGGCCCTCACTGAGCGGGCACCATAGTATAGTGGTGTAGGCGTCAACCTTTTTAAAGAGGCAGCCGTACTCCACCCGCATTACTTCCTTTTTCTTTCTCCTTGTTCACCGCCGCATTTGTTACTTAGACGAGACTAAGTAAAAAATGCGGATGTCCACTATCTTCTCTCTAGCTCCGTATGGCGACAAATAATCGTCTGCCTTCTTGCTAGAATCAGGGCCGGGATCTGAAGGATGACCTGCTTAACAGTCCCAGATTATATTGCCATCCTGGATGCCGATCTCCTTCAACTAAATAAATTATTTTGCACCCGCAATTACTTCCAAGTGTAGGTGCGGTTCAGCTGTGTGGTTTAGCTGGATATACTCGGGTCTTAGCTTGACCTCGCACCGTCGCTGTGCTGAGGACCTTCAACTTTACCTATTTTAACTTATTGGTCACCTTCATCTGTGGCCGGATCTGACTTCCGGTTCTTGGCACTGGGACCGTCTGCTGCGCTGGCGCTACCTCCTTCTGCGCCTTTCTTTCCTTCCTTTTCCACCTTTGCGAACGAAGGTGAACTAATTGTTCTCAGAAGCGTTTGTCTCTGCTATTTTGCTCGGTATTCGTTATTCCTTTGAAGAGAGCTTCTCCTCGAAGGAGTCGACTTGACAGCGGAAGCCGTTACGGTAAGGGTGTCCTGGACTTATCTTACTTCATTATCTCTTCTTGGAGAGCCTTTAAATCATAAAGCTACATAATAATGGAGACCTCATTAACCTTCTGAAGGTTTTATTTTCAACTTTAAGTTACACCACGTCATTAGCCGCCGCAGCGCTCTCCAACAAAACTTCGAAAACGTATGACGTTTTCTGAGTGATGTCCATCATACACAGACTACTTAGATACTACGTACAGACTGCTTACTGCTGAACTATTTATTTTTTCTGTACTTAGTATTAGTACTAATCTGTGGCTCAATCTCGGCTAACTTCGCGAGTACTTTAGTGGAGGTGTTACGTGGGTTCCAAATGAAAGCACGCCCCTTTATATTTTAAGATGATATAACTTGGTTTTTGTTCAGGTAACGTCTCGTTGGACATTTAGATGTCCAGGGTGCCCAGTGACGCTGTCTGCAGACGAAACACACTTCCACGAACGACATAAATGCATACAATTCTTTTCACAGGTGAGTCTTTTAAGCTTTTTAATTTATATACTTTTTAAATCATCGAAATCGGTTCATTCGTTGCGATTTTATAACTAATTTTATGGTAGCCAATATTCAGCGGCAGCCGAAACGTATGACGTAACAGAGCTCGATCGTGGTTCACTCCGGTTGACCTTCAGTAGCGTCGCACGCTTGCGCCCGAGTGCTAGAGCTCTGTGACGTTGCGACCAGCTGAAAATTCGTTTAGTAGTTATGACCAAATTACATAAATTTAAACACTGTATTTTATGGAATCCTCAGCTCTATAAATCTGCATTCTCAGCTAACATCGTTACGTATCCTCTTTGTTATAATTATATTTAAAATATAACAATGGTACAATTATAAAATGACAAATGGTATACATCTATCAATATGGAATAACAAAGGCCTTATAAAAAGATTTACAGCTACTATTATGTCGAGTTTAATTTTATTTTCACCTGTGTTTAGATGGAAAATAATGTGTTTTGTTTGTTTTGCTAACAGGTTATGGGATATACACCATTATTATCAACGCAGTACCGAGCAGACTCCGTTCTCTTTAAGACGCGGATACCTCACGACAAACAGAAGTGTTTCAAGTTCATTTAGTTAGTATTTGGATTAAACTTGGAAAATGTGAATACTACATGCGACAGGAGTGAGTATAGTGATCTGGCCAACCTGATTCTATTTTATACTGATTTAAATTGAGCAAATTTTCCATTCATTCAAAATGAGTTAAAACTCACAGGTGACAATACTCTTTATGTAATCCAGTTTTCCATGTGATCTTTATAATCAAAAGGGTAAGGACAATGCTTTTTTTATATGCGACCAAGTTCGACTTTATGCTCGTAGTAATAAAGATGATATTGCAGCTTGAACGCACGAAAAGTAGAGGATTAAAGTGTAATTATTTTACGTGATTACCTGTAAGTATTAGTTTTTTTAGCAGAGAGAGTATTAGGACGCCAAAATAAATATAGTTTCTTGTTTTTTTTTGAAGAAGTTGTGATAGAAATAGGACATTTATATTGGTATTGTATTTTCAATGTTATTTGTATGATATCATAATAATTTAATCCAGCACATTTTTTTTTCACTGATATATAATGTACTGTAATAAAAAGCAGTTAAAAAGTGACTTACTGTGCAACCGATATAGCTTACATTAAAACAAAAAGGGAAGATGCGGCACTCGCGGCTCAAAAGTGGTCCGCTTAAATTGTGGTGCATGACCACAATTCGCTTTAGTCACAATCGGAGATTCAAACGCGCTGCATGTGCACCCAGTCTAACAATTTTGCGTATATTCTGTGTTATAAAGATAAGACAATGCCTTCGATGCTTTTATAAAGAACACAAATGGTTCAAAATCAAATAACAAAGGGTTTAGCCGGATACGTATGACGAGTCGGCCCCCAAATAGGAATCGATATCGAAACTTATGTTTTAATATTGTCTTGATGTTCAAACACGATTTATGTACTTTTTGCGACCGACTTCCGTTTTGACCTTGAGATAGAGAGCAAAATATCCGTATGCTTGACTATTACTGAATGTGATGTATCTCTGAAGCTAATTAAGATAAAGAAGTGAAACCAACGCGAGGTGTTAGGTTACATTACAGAGTATATTACATATATTTTTTTATAATTTTTAGAATAAAAAATTACATTAAAAAAATAAAAAATAAAAAAATCATATTTTTTTTTCTGAGTTCTCTGTGACTTACAATCACGAAATTTATATATGTTATGCTCCTTTGTGTGCTCTATTACCCATAAAAATTGCGTGAAAAAAAAGTTGGTGCAACACAACGAAAAAAAATTATATGTGATTTCTGTCTTATGGTATATCCCTGTATTATAAAGTGTACATTACATCATTGTTTTTTTTCGCACATCAGCTCGTTTTAAAACATAAGTAAATAGTCTTAAGAGATGGTTTAATAGTTAAACAAAAAAATTTTTAAAAAACAGCCAGTGTTCAATATTAATTATTATTACTTTTTCTTGTCAATCAAAATACAAGAAACAAAATATTAATCATCGTCACTGTTGTAATTAATTACAATCGGAACACTTTCAGTCGCAAATAACTTAGTTAGGACCTCAGCAGGACGTACGATTCTGGACAAATATCGTCCATATGATAGATAATAAATAATAGCTGCTACATGAGAACAGCATCCCACTGTACGTTCGCCATTGGGGCAATCACAGCAATAACGTAGAATACTATTGTAGTCATTACCTTCGGAAATATAGTGAATGTAAATTCGATAGACTTTTCTATTTATATGTCTTGATTTCACTTCTGCTTTGATGATATTAGGTGCTGATTTCACATATTGTACTGAGAGATTATTTTGATCGTCCATTATTTCGGCCAAGTAAGATATAGCTTGTGAAAATTGATATGAGCCTGTGAATAAAATCTTGAGCTGATCTTCAGTTAAACGTGGAAAATCAAGTAGTTCAGATGCCGTTAAACATTTCAGTGTAGTTTTTTTTCGGTTCCAACGCTGACTTTGTACTTCTTGACTCAAAGTATTTTCCATGTCCATTCTACTTTTCATATATTGTACTATAATGTCACTTAAATTACCGTCCGAATTAAGTCTTTTCACATAAGTGTTGTGCAGAAAACCAATAATTTTACATAGCAGTTTCAACTTTGGCAACATCTTATTATCGACAGAATGATGTAAAAGTTTATACTTTTGGGCAATATTACCGTGAACAGCTTCTACTACCCACCTGATTTTCGTAATATTTCTTGATATATTAGCTTCTTCTGTACTGAGTTGAAGTTTATTACCTTTAAAAGCCGGCATAAGAACGTTGAAACCCTTGTCATTCAAGAACTCTACGACATCTCTAAATCCGCGATCTACAATAAATGTATCATTGGGTAACAAAAGTTTTTTTAGGCCTGAAGGATTCTCTAAAATAACTTTCATAATTGAAGCATCATTTAGAGTTCCGTAAAAAGGTCCAGCAAAATCAACGACAAAACCATTCGTCGTACATATTGTAAATGGCTTACATAAGTGTGTTTTCTTTTGTCCTGAGTACGATTTTCTTTGATAATAATTATTTTCACTTTTTTGGTGTCGTACATATGTACCATCTACAATTAGTACAAGCTGATTTTCATTGACATTTAATAATTTTCTTGCAGTATCACTGGTGTTCGCTATAAGTTGCTGTCGAGAAACAGCGTTATATCCAAAAGAGTACGGTAAAATGTCTTTTTCAAAACTTGTCATTATTTGCGTGAAATATTCTGAAACTTGTTGGCCGTAAGGTAAACCAAAAATACTTGCGATTGTTTCATTTGAATTGCCGGTCTTTAGTTTAAACAGGAATATAATTAAAGCTTGAGTAACAGACCGCGTGCTTGTATCTCGCATAGATGTAAGTAATGATCTTAGATTTAATATATTTTCCCAAGATAATCCAGTTAAAGTCTTTACTTGATCTTCAGACATATCTAATTCGTTCATTCTATCAAATATTGATGACTGTGATTTATTTGACAGCGTATTGAAAAATAGTGTCAATTCAGTTTTTTCTATGTTACTAGTATTAGAGACTGTGCGGAGACGTAATAAATCATCTTCATAAAAATATTTTCCAATTAAGTGCATCGAACAGCAACGATCACCTTTTGGTATGAAAATCTGTTTTTTAATAAACAATTGTATTCGTGTCTCCAAACATATTGTCTTGAGATCAGTTGTTTTTCGACATATAATGCAATACTTGTGAGTAGATGCAACACGTTGAAATGGAACTTCAATATAATCATCACTCAGATGGTATTTATATGTAAAATCACTGTCACTACTGTTATCAGAATCTTCAGAGTAAACGTAAGTTTCTTCCGGCACTTCTCTAGTCGCTAATTCTTCACCAGGTTCTTTTATGCTTAAAGATACCTCGTTAAATGCTGCACATTTAGAAGTAGAGGCTTTTTTTTTAACATATGGGAGAAGTCGACACTTCTTACAAAAAATATCATTAACTATCACGGTTTTATTCAAACAGTCACTAAACACCTTAGCTTCTTCTTCATTCTTTATAATTTTTTTATAACCAGGTATCTTACACAGGTACTTGTTACAATTTTTACACTTTCTCGACATTATTACTTAACAATGATTTGGTTCGATAGTTAATAATTTCAAAATGCTGATACAACAAAATACCTATGACAGAATTTGAGTCACAAACTGCCTCCTTATGTAATACAAATGACTGCGATTTTAGCTAAACAAACGATACAATAAACAGCGCGATAACAAGTTCGAACTTGTTTGTTTACAATTTTGCCCGCGCGTGTCAAATAAAGTCATGTTTATACACTCACACTACAAGGCGCGAATCACATATAATTTTTTTTTCGTTGTGTTGCACTAACTTTTTTTTCACGCAATTTTTATGGGTAATAGAGCACACAAAGGAGCATAACATATATTAATTTCGTGATTGTAAGTCTCAGAGAACTCAGAAAAAAAAATATGTTTTTTTTATTTTTTATTTTTTTTATGTAATTTTTTATTCTAAAAATTATAAAAAAATATGTGTAATATACTCTGTAATGTAACCTAACACCTCGCGTTGGTTTCACTTCTTTATCTTAATTAGCTTCAGAGATACATCACATTCAGTAATAGTCAAGCATACGGATATTTTGCTCTCTATCTCAAGGTCAAAACGGAAGTCGGTCGCAAAAAGTACATAAATCGTGTTTGAACATCAAGACAATATTAAAACATAAGTTTCGATATCGATTCCTATTTGGGGGCCGACTCGTCATACGTATCCGGCTAAACCCTTTCACGGCAACACTTTTCATTGGTAAAATTATGAAAACATTTTTTTTCTCAAAAAATCACGGCTTGTCATTAATGTTATTTACTTTTTAGCCATTTGTTATCAAGAAATGGACATCAATACAGCTCAGCCGTTTGTAGAGAGAGAAATTACAACGCAGTCGCCATGCGAAGCGACGTGGACTCGCCGTTTCGCTCGCTCTGCGTTGTAGCGTACTGACATTTCGGTTTGCAAACTATTCGATTTCGATATTGGTTCGTGCTAGGGGTACTGTTTTGCCTCGCTCGCTCGATTGAATGTTTATTTACAGGAGTGAGCGTGCGTGAGAGTTGCTTATGTAGTTGAGTCGGATCATATCATATTTGATGCTAGTATGAGCGTACCGTATCTTCCCTTTTTGTTTTAATCTAAGCGATATAGTGATTGAATTGAACTGATTTTAGGAACATCAATCAGGTTTTCTATAAATATATTTTCTCACCTGACACTCGTTTCGAAATAAAGTCTCCATAAGATTCATCTGCGAAAATAATGAGCCTTTAAGCTCAAACGATTTTAACGTACACGTCGAATTTTCGTGTAATGAATGATACATATTTAAAGTACAGCTAGAACGTCTTAAAATTTTATACGATTATCGCTTGCGCTAGATCATTATAGTCAATAGAGTTTACTTCAAATGCCGATATGAAATTTAAGCCATTATAGAAGACTTTCAATAACTTCTAACAAATCTAATCGAGTAAGTCAATAATTCTCACTCAGCACACAGTGCTCACTGAGAACTTATCACATAGAACATTGAATTATACATTGAATTTGTACATATTTATATCCACTCTGGCAAACTTCTTGAGTAACGAACATAGATAAGGTAGCTTGCTAAATAGCGAGCCTTACAGTAGTCGCGTATGATGTGTTACATTTGAAACCTCACCTTATATTAGTAAAAAATGAAATAAAACCTACTACAAAAGTAGTAAGCCATTTGAACATTATGTTCTAAAATCAAATGAAATAGCGCGCGCTTTCGCGACTTCCTGTTACACACTTCCGTCCCACTTCACGAAATCACTCCCACAAATTGCAGCGAGAGGAAAGATGTTACACATCAAAAACGTCTACTGCGCAAGTTTATTTATCTATGGTTTGGCTCAAGAAGTTTGCCGTTACCTATAATTAGAGATGGAAAAAACGGCTTATTTCTTAAAAGCGTTTATACGTTGTACTTTTTAAAATAAGCGCGCTTGGAAAAAAGCTTTTTCGTTTAAACGCTTATTGGTATAAACGTTTAAAAGCATGCGTAAAAAGCGCGGCGTTGTGTTGTGTTTTCGTTTAGGTATATCGTTTAAAAAAGCGTGAAAAGTTTATTGTCGTTTTTAATGTGTTTAAGTGTTTTATTGCGTTTTTTCTTCTTATTAATGAAATTTTTATCAAAAAGTTTTTTTAAACCTAATGAATTGATTGGCATTAAAAACGAAAGATTTTCAATTGAATTTAGATTTTATAATAGTCAATGAACTTTCCTTCGTACTTTACAAGCT